GGCTCATTTGTTTCATAACAGAAATTTATACTGAAAATTAATCAGTCAAATTTAATATCCCACTTGATTTTATGATTTCCAGGAACTTGTCATCTTATAAAGATTCTTTGGAATTTAATATACTATTGGGATATATTTAGGTTGCTAGCAAAAGCAGTGTCTCATTATAACAAGAATTTAGAGTTGAAATTATGTTAAACAGGCATTTTGCTTCACGGGTGTTAATTACGGATATGAATATTGAAAAGAATATTTAATATGAGAATCTATATTTTATTTGGTCAACTTTTCTTATTAACAAATCACTAAAACTACATTATTTACTATTGCTATTTTACAATTTGTCACTTGGGGGCAGCAAAAATGCTCTGGGAATCAGAAGTATAGCATTTAACTAGCAGAACAGGTAGGCTATTAAAGATGTAAGGCACTATGTTAGGCAGTAAACATTGAAAAAAACTGAATGTTTAGCCTCAAAAGATACCATAATGTATATAGGGAAAAGACATTATATTTGAATAGTTATAATACAAGATAGCAAAGGATGAGGAAAATGAGAGGCATAATGTACTTACAGGAATTCAGAAGAATTTGAAGTTGAGTGTTGTAAACCGGGATATTTGGGTGAAGAATAAAGAATATAATTTGAACACTGACTGGTATGGCTCAGTGGGTTTGGCGTCATCCCAGAAACAAAAAGGTTACTGGTTCAATACCCAGTCAGGGCATGTGCCTGGGTTGTGGGCCAGATCCCTAGTTGGGGGCATGTGAGAGATCAATGTTTCTCTTGCACATTGATATTTCTCTCCCTCTCTTTCTTCTCCCTTCCCCTCTCTCAAAATATAAATAAATAAAAGCTTAAAAATATAATTTGATTTGTTCAGCGCACACAGTACATATACAGGGAGGTTGAACAGATTAGCAGACTAAGAAGTTTGGACTTCAATCAATATTAAGAATAATCCATTAAAGGGGTGTGTATATAAGGTCTGTGGAAAAAGTCTAATTACTGTTAATATAGTGGGAATGGTTAGTGCAACATCAATGTAACCTGGCAGCCAAGGAAAGTGGACTGAAATGCACACAAGTAAACGACGACAACTTCACTGTACTAGTCAGTGGGGTGATAGACACTTCTGAATGAGCATGTGTACTGTGTGGCTATTGCATTCAAAATGACTGATGGAATACAGCAATAAGTCTGCATCAAATTTTGCATTAAGCTCGAATGTTCCTCTGCAAAAACTATCTGAATGATCCAGAAAGCTGCAGCTATGGGCGATTGGTGATTGGCAGCTTCATAATGACAATGTGCCCGCTCATGTACCATGTCTGGTGCAGAGTTTTTTGGCAAAAGATGAAATCACTCAGGTGACTAAGCCACCCTACAGCCCAGATTTGGTGCCGTGTGACTTCGGGCTTTTCCTCCAAAACTAAAATCACCTTTGAAAGGGAAAAGATTTCAGAACATGGATGATATTCAGAAAAATACAACGGGGCAGCTGATGGTGATTAGGACAACTGTGTGAGATCCCAAGGTGCCTACTTTAAAGGGGACTGAGGCATCACTGTTCTGCGTACAATGTTTCTTGTATCTTTGTCAATAAATGTCTCTATATTTCACAGTACACGGCTGGATACTTTCTGGACAGACTTCACACAAGGCAGAGGAAGAAAGGACAGCCAAGACAGAAGAGGAAAGACAGATGAGGGAAGGGGAAACAAGGGTGAGAGGAGAGGGAAAGAAACACAAGAGATAGATATATGCAAGTCCTGTCTAGAGCTCTGATTAGATACAACTGATCTGGCTATTAATTTTTGTTCACACAGTCTATCTAGTATGAGCCAGACATAGAACTAGGTGCTGAAGACTATGAGTGAACAGTGGCAGACATGAACAGTTTACTAACTCTCTTTTCTACTAGACAAGTTTGGGAGGATCAGAAAGGTTAAATAATGTTCTTGGGCTTTCATTTTTCCACATATAGATAGGCCTATGACCACTGGTCTATCAACAGAAGCAAAATGCCTACATTTAATAGCAGCCGTATAAAATTATAAAAGAAACAATTCTTAGCTTTATTCTGTTTCCTAGGAAAACAGAAAAAGTTTCTCATATGTTTTCTCTATTTCATTTTTTTTTTTAATTTAAGAGAGGTTGGATTTGTGGTGGTATCACATATATAACAAGTGATAATAAATATCTCATACTGGTTTCTGGCCAAGATGAAGGCATAAGTAGATATGCTTTGCTTCCTTTCACAACCAAAAGAAGGATAACAACCAATTAAAAAAAAACACACACACACACAACCAGAACAGCTAGAAAATCAAATTGTATGGGAATCTGACAACCAAGGAGTTAAAGATGAAACATTCATCCAGACCAATAGGAGGGGTGAAGATGGGCAGCCAGGGCAGAGAGAATGTACAGCAAGGTGGTTCTGGCGGACCAGGCAGGCGATGTAGTGGCTAGTGGACTGGGCAGACCCATATTCACATGCAGATAAACCAGGAGGAACAACTGGGGAGCAAGACAGACTAGGTAAACCAGGGTTCCAGTGCTGGGAAATAAAGCAGCAAAAGCTCTGGCTGTAAAAACCTGTGGGGGTTGCAGTGGTGGGATAAACTGTTAATCTCACAGGTGAGTTGGTTGCAGGGGACCACAGGGTCCTAGAACATACACAAGCCCACCCAACTGGGAATCAGCACCAGGGCAATACCTGAAAGAACACAATTCATGTGTGGGAAGCAGGGAAAGTGATGGAAAGTGGGGTGAGAGTCAGCAAACAGCATTGTTTCCTCTCTGGCCCCTCTCCCACATACAGCACCACAACCCAGTGATGTGGGTTGCCCCGCCCTTGTAAATACCTATGCCTCCACCCCTTACAACACAACAGGTATGCTGAGACAATGAAATATGGCTCAAATGAAACAACAGGTAAAAATTCCAGAAAAAGAACTAAGCAATGAGGAGATATCCAACCTATCAGATGCAGAATTCAAAACAGTGGTAATCAGGATGCTCACAGAAATGATTGAGTAGGCCTGCAAAATAAATAAAATATATAGGGAACCAACAGTGAAGGGAAGAAAACTGTGACTCAAATTAACAATTTGGAACAGAAGGAAGGAAACATTCAACCAGAAGAGAATGAAGAAAAAAGAATTTAAAAAAATGAACACAGGCTTAGGAAACTCTAGGACAATTTTAAACATTCCAACATCTGAATCATAGGGGTGCCAGAAGGAGAAGAGGAAAAGCAAGAAGTAAAAACTTATTTGAACAAATAATGGAGGAGAAATTTCCCAATCTGGTGAAGAAAACAGATATACAAGTTTAGGAAGTTAAGAGAATCCTAAAGAAGTTGGATGCAAAGAGGAATACACTAAGGCACATTATAATTACATTAGCCAAGATTAAAAATAGCAGAGAGAATCTTAAAAGTAGCAGAGAAAAGGAGAGAGTTATCTACAAAGGCGTTTTTATAACACTATGAGCTGATTTCTCAAAAGAATCCTTGCAGGCAAGAAGGGGATAAAAAGAAGTATTCAAAGTCATGAAAGGCAAGGACCTACATCCAAGATTGCTCTATTCAGCAAAGCTTTCATTTAGAATGGAAGGGCAGATAAAGTGCTTCCCAGACAAGGTCAAGCTAAAGGAGTTCATCATCACCAAGCCCTTATTCCATGAAATGTTAAAGGGATTTATCTAAGAAAAAGAAGATAAAAACTGTGAACATTAAAATGACAACAAACTCAAAACTATCAACAACTGAACCTAAAAAAACCGAAAACAAACTAAGCAAACAACTAGAACGGGAACAGAATCACAGAAATGGAGATCACATGGAAGGTTATCAGCAAGGAGGGGGAAGAAAGAGAATGGGGGAAAAGGTAGAGGGAATAAGAAGCATTATTGGTAGGTACAAAATAGATAGGGAGAGGTAAAGAATAATATAGGAAATGGAGAATGCAAAGAACTTATATGTACAACCAATGGACATGAACTGAATGGTGGGGAATGCTAGAGGGAATGGGGTACCAGGTGGAGGGGGATAAAGGGGAGGAAAAAAGGGACAACTATAACAGCATAATGAATAAAATATACTTTAAAATATACCTCATACTTCCTAAAGTGACACTTTGGATTTCCCAGCTACTAAAAAAATTGCACTGGCAACAAAAATTAGTTCTAGCTACTGATAATTATTCATTCATTCATTCATTCATACCTCATCCAAGAATATGTTTTTATTGATTTTACAGAGAGAGAAAGGAAGGGTGGGAGGGAGAGAGAAAAGCACTGATTGGTTGCCTATCATACATCCCCAAATGGGCATCGAACCCATGATTTAGGTATGTGCCCTAACCAGGGATTGAATTGCAATCTTTTGGTGCAGGGATGGCATTCCAACCAACTGAGTCATCTGACCAGGGCATGCTACTGATAATAAATGAGCCTTTGTTGATAAAGAATAGGCCAATAGTATAAAATGATTATATATCGAATTTTGTCTGTCTTCCATGAAGTAAAAAGTCAAAAATCCATATTTGCTTAACAACTTAGAAGTTACCCCAGAGTTTAGTTTAACCATTTGATTAGGTATTACCAATTCTCCATTGAAAGAATTAAAATAAAAAAGCTTGGGGCTGCTCCATTTGACTGTTAAATTAATGACACAGTATATAAAAAGCCAAGCAACTCAGCTGAACAAGTAGGTTATCCTATAGCCCATTTTTCTCATTTGCCCTCTTGTTCTGGTTTATATGGCTCTCTTTATAGTCTGTCAGCTTCATGAGGGCAGAAGTCATATCTTATATCTATCTCCTTTTGCATCTAAATATGCCTGATACATAGCCAGCATATATGTGCACCTACACATAAATGAGTACTCACAGGAAATTGGCCTTAGAAAGAATATGAGAAAAAAGAGAACTACTTTGACAAGCCAAATTTCATCACTCTCATTAGGAGTGACTTGAAGAGGAATCCTTACCTGCCGCGTCACTACAAAGTATGCATACATTGCCATGGCACTTCCGTAAGTGATGAAATAGGTGACTGGCTCCATAATGTCCCAGGAATATTCCCACCAGGTGAGCCGGGCCAAAATGCCAAACTGTGTGGCCATGTAGGCAAGTCCACCCCATAGCACCAAAGTGGTCCTCTTCTCAGCTTTTCTGCTAATCTCAATTCGTACCTATGGAGCACACATGAGAGCTTATAAAGCACTTTCAATAGAATCAACTTAAAACTCTTATTTAAACTGTTCTATGTTCACTGAGGAAATGGCTCAAAAATCAAGATACAAGTTAGTCTCAATTCTATTAAATATAGCTTGTCTTCCTAAATAGGACCTATTGTTTTCACTGAACAAAATATTTAAAAGCAGTAATATTTTTTAGGACACTGTTTTATGTTTTGTACTAGAAGTGGCTGAAAATAAGGTGAAATTACAGGAGTGAGTAAGTTAGTTTCAACAGCTCCTCATTCAACTACGAAATTCCTCTCTTTGCGAAGAGGGACATGAAAGCATGCAAATGTTCTCTCACCACCATATACAAAATTTAATCTAGTCTCAGTTTTTACTCTTGGGGGCCCACTAGGGGGCAGCACAGTGAGTCGGGGCACAGACTCTGGATTCAGAGGGGAGGAGTTCAGGCCCTGCCTGCAAATCACCAGCAACTCCATTACTGAGTTGTTCTGAAGATTAACAGAATACAGGGAAAATACTCAGAGTAATTCCTGGCAGGTAGCAAGTATTTAATATAGGATGATAATTATTTTATTATAGCAAGTATTTTAAAAAATGCTTTACATTTTGAAAATACCAAATTTAAATCTTATTCCCCTTCACTACAGTTCCTCAAAGTTCAATTTATCACAGTTTTCTAATGGTCTTAAACTTAATGAGAACAACCTTGAGATGTGTGTTGATTATTTTTAAAGAAATTAGAAAAATCACAATATAAAGAGAATATTTGTGTCTTTTGTTAATCTCTTGTAGTCTATCTTTTTTTAAAAATAATTTTTTAAAACTTTAAAAAAATTATTTATATTTAGAGGGGAAGGGAAGGAGAGAGGGAGAGAAATATCAATGTATGGTTGCCTCTTGTGCGTCCCTTGCTGGGAACTGGCCTGCAACCTAGGCTTGTGCCCTGACTGGGAATTGAACCATGATCCTTTGGTTCACAGGCCCGCGCTCAATCCACTGAGCTATGCCAGACAGGGCTCTTGTAGTCTATCTTAATATGAAGATATTTGTATCATTAGAAAATAGGAATGATACATATTCACTCTAAAACAGATAAATGAAAAGAAGAAAAACCAATCATAATCCTATTTATTAGCATATTTTTCTTTATGTATGTATGTATATATTTAAAATACATAAATATGTATAAAGAGCATAATACATTTAAAATTGGATACACTTATATGCATACTTTTTATAATTTAGTTTCCATAAAATATTATGAATAGTTTTCTATAGCATATTAGATCTACATAATCATTTTTAACAGCTGTGTAATACTCTTATCTCATTATTAACTTGACTAAAATCATTACTCACTGTATTCAGAACCTTTCTTGATCAGCAGTTATTTTTCAATCTTTGTTGTAATGGTGGTAAATCTGGGTAAGGCCAGACATTTAGACCACGAAGCTCTAAGTTCATTATCAAGACTCAAAACTATTTCTTTTTATGTTCTTTCTTAACTTTGATTGGAACTTTTTTATGATTCAGTCCCCAAAACTAGTTTGATTGACACAGCTCAATTACCTTAAAAAGCAAACATACATGGAGACAAAACAGCAAACATATATGCTCTGGAAAAAATATCAGTGAAGAGAAAAGTCTGAGATTTGAGTTGGTACCTTTTCCAGGGGTGCCAGCTGCTCTCTGAGATCCTCTAATCTTTCGATGAGCTCCCTCTCCTTGTGTAGCTGATGCTGCTCAATGCACAGTGTTGTGTATAGCTGCTGGACTAGGGTCTTTACATCGTTCAGCGTTGCTGCATTTTCGTGGCTTAGGAGGTCTAAAAGAAAAGTTACTTTTTTTTTTTTTTCCATGTATGCCTTAAGTGAAGAGCTGCTATTCCTGGAGCTATAAGACAATAAGAACAAGGCAGATTCATTCACAATAGGGATCCACTTTCTATGAGAAACTTCAGGGAAGTAATAGTTCTTTTTTTAAAAGGAGGAATCTACAAAATCCTAGAAAGTGTATTCATATTTGGGCAACTTGAAAATCTTGAAACCAACATTCATCATTATATTACTGGGCATTTAAATGCTATATATGAACTCAAAAATAATAATAATCTTCATTAGATAAGGATACAAAATTTAAGACAATATGTTAAAAACTAGAAGAGATGTTTAGGATCGATCTGATTGTGCTGATTAAAATGCTGACCTCTATCTTTGGCCTTGTCATTTAAATTGGTAATATTTTTCCCTTAAGTAACTCTGAAGGAAAAACTATACAATATTTCAAATTTGTAAATGCAAGGGCCCAAGTAAAAATATCATAACCCTATAATCTTAGTTCCCATACATTTCCCCCACCATACCAGCTTTTATTTATTTGCTGTTGGGAAAAGACACAGAACAGCTGCATGGACCCCATGCAGGACCTCATGGTCTGAAGGGCATGAAGTTACAAGAATGACTGAAAAAACAATAGATTAAATTCTTTGGTTCAGTATCATCTTTTGTGAGTAGGGTGTGGTGTATGTTTCCAGATATCAAAAAATTAAGTTTTGAGAATCTTATTTTTAAAAAGTTGGTTTCATCTGTCATTTTTTAAAAGTACCAGAAATAAAGCTTTTATTTTAGAATACTAACCTTAATATGACATTTTGTTAGGTATAGTCTAAGTTCGGCCCTCTTCTAAATCAAAAAAGGTCACAATCAGAATTAGCTATATATTTCAAATATTCTTCAAAGATATCCTTTAGTACAGTTATCACAGAAATTCAATCAGTAAAAGTTTGAATAAGGGTAGCAAATTGGATTAGAGGAGAGCTGATGCAGTAACAGGGGACACAGTCCCTGGCACAGTGTCTAGCACACTTCAGTAAATTAATGCTGCATTAAAGTTGCAGCTCACATCTGCATACAGCTTTACACTCTCCCGTTACCAGAAGAAGAAGCTGCACTGTAGAAAGCAGTAACTTGTCTAGAATGTCACAGTGAAGTGGCAGAGTCCATGTCTCCTAACCCCCAGGCCTCGGGCTGAGTTATAATGCTTCCACTATACCAATATTTATACTTCTCCAAGCCCTTTCAAAAACTCAGTCCCTTAAGAAAGTATAAATTATCTGTGGTTAACAAAATCATATCATATGTATTAACTCATGTTATCTCTCCTCACAAGAATGGCACAAGTAAGGGTGGTGCCCACAGTTTACAAGTGAAGAATATGAATCCTAGATAGATAAGATAGATAAGAATATGAATCCTAGATAGATAAGTGAGATTAACAAACATTTCTGTGCCAGGTACAAAAGTTCAGTTCCTCAGTTACACTAGCCACATTTTAAGTGCTCAATAGCCACATGTGACTAATGACTACCATATTGGACAGTGAGGAAACAGAACATTTTCATCATACGTAAAGTTCTGTTTGATAACACTGTCCTTGGGATTTCTCTATCAGCCCTCCTTATCCTAATAGTTGGATGCAAACGAACTTCTAAGTTTTTTGGCAAGCTTTGATTTATCCAGCTATGCCATCACTTAAAAACTGGTCACTCTTCTCTCATCTTTCAAGCTCCCTTTTCAGACTTTTAGTTCTTTAGCTTCACATACAGTTTGTACAAGGCTTCATTCCTATAATGAATCTTTTACTCCTTAATATTCATGTGGTTGCTTCCCCAAATGAACCCTGACTGATACAAACATGTGTGATATGCAATTATTTGCATAGAAAGGGAAAAAGATCATGCATTTATATTTTCTTACAAATGCATTGACTATCTTGGGTAGAAAACAAAAGAAACTAAGGCCAGTGTTTGCTGGTAGAGAGGAGAAGGAACAGGGATGAGAAAACTTTTTCTATATGTTCTTTGTCTTTGGGAGTTGAACTTGTGAATGTATTGTCTATTCAAGACTAACAAAAATGTAATGTGCAACCACAGTAAATCTGTCTAATACAATGAAAAGACTATAAAATGACAATTCCTAGAAGACTGACTTCACAGATGCCCAGTTCTAGACCTGGCTGAAAACAGTTATTATCTTGCAGATGAGGAACTGGCAATGCCCTAGTAAACCAGGGTCAAGGCTTTATCTTGACAGGAAGGATATGGTTCCAAGTATTATGCTGGTGAAGGAAAACAACCACCTCAAAGCTCTGACCCCTCAAAATCTGCCCACATATTTGGAGATGAAATTACAGGAACAGGAAGGATAAATCTACTGATGGCTTAACAACACCACTTTTGAATGATTAGTGTATGCTTCACTAAAAATGCAATCAGGTGCTTATTAATGGTTTTGCACTTGCCATAGTGCCAGGAAAATTAAGGTGCAGAAAGGCAGGGAGATGTGCTAAGATAATGGGGATTGAAAAGTCTTTCAGCTACTAAAATGTTTTGAGAAGGGCTACAGCTATTTGAGTCTCTGATAAAGCATTTGTTATTGTTGGCATTTGGTTTACCTGCTTGACCTTTTCTCTCAAATTATTTACATTGTTAAGACAGAATGAAGGTCTTCAGTATCTCTGGATGGATATATGAGGAAAAGGGTTTAGTGGTGCCAATCAAAATGATTCTCCTTGGCACAAAAACTTTCAACACTAGTAATATAGGACATATTTTCCTCTTCCCCAAGACTAAGAGGAAGACAGTTAATTACTACTTCAACATGGACTGGGGTATTAGGCTTTTTGTGCTCCCTTTCCATATTCTTCCCTCCAGTGTAGATTTAATTAGGTTATAAAAATCATCTATTGCTAAAACAGTTACTCCACACATCTTGCAGTTACTCGAAAAATAGACAGGGGAGTCTAGCCATGTACAGCTAACAGTAAGCAAAAGAAGGCAATGGAGATTGAAACTAGCCTTACTGCTTTGACCTGCCCCCTGGTTCCATTTCAGTTCTTTCCTGCCTCTTTCCCTCCAGTTTTGGGGTTAGGTAGCAGAGCTGCATATGCTTAAGGGTCCATAACACATATGGACTGTCAATCGCATGAAAACATAAAATGTGGCTATGTTAGATCCTATGTGAATGAGCCCTCCAGCCTCTGTGCCTGTAGGAAGTGTGTAAAGTTCATGTTTACTAGTACACAACACTGGTAGGACATTGTTAGTTCTAAAGTGCTACCCATAAATAGGAAAAATAAAAATAGGAGAGGGATGTGAAAGCTAAAGGGGGTAAGAAGTGACTTTTAAAAAAAAGCTGTCTTGGAAAAGTTTTCTTCATTAACTTTTTTTTAAAAATATATTTTATTGATTATGCCATTACAGTTGTCCCATTTCCCCCCTTCCTTACCCTCCTCCCTGCACACCCCCTCTCCCCACGTGTCCCCCACTTTACTTCATATCCATGTGTCACCAGTTCTTTAGTTTCTACATTTCCCATACTATTCTTGCTGTCCCACTGTCTATTTTCTACCTACCATCTCTGCTACTTATTCTCTGTACCTTCTCCCCCCTTCTCCTCCTCCCACGCCCCTTTTGCTAACCTTCTATGTGATTTCCATTTCTATGGTTCTGCTCCTGATCTAGCTGTCCTCTTAGTTTGCTTTTGTTTTAGGTGTGGTTGCTACTAACTGTGAGCTTGCTGTCCTTTCACTGTTCATCTTTTTGATCTTCTTTTTCTTAGATAAGCCCCTTTAACGTTTCATATAATAAAGGCTTGGTGATGATGAATTCCTTGAACTTGACTTCATTTGAGAAGCACTTTATCTGCCCTTCCATTCTAAATGAAAGCTTTGCTGGGTAGAGCAATCTTGGACGTAGGTCCTTGCCTTTCATGACTTGGAATACTTCTTTCCAGCCCCTTCTTGCCTGTAAGGTCTCTTTTGAGAAATCTGCTGACAGTCTGATGGGAACTCCTTTGTAGGTGACTCTCCCTTTATCTCTTGCTGCTTCTAGGATTCTCTCCTTCATTTTAATCTTGGGTAATGTAATTCTGACGTGCCTTGGTGTGTTCCTCCTTGGGTCCAGCTTCTTTGGGACTCTCTGAGCTTCCTGGACTTCCTGGAAGTCTATTTCCTTTGCCAGATTGGGGAAGTTCTTCTTTATTATTTGTTTAAATAACTTTTCCACTTGTTGCTCTTCTTCTTCTCCTTCCAGTACCCCTAAAATTCAGGTGTTGGAACATTTAAAGATGTCCTGGAGGTTCTTAAGCCTCTCTTCATTTTTTTGAATTCTTGTTTCTTCATCCTTTTCTGTTTGGTTGTTTCTTTCTTCCTTCTGGTCCACTGCATTGATTTTAGTCTCAGTTTTCCTTCCACCACTATTGGTTCTCTGTGCATTTTGCTTCATTTCACTTAGTGTAGCCGTCATTTTTTCATCTGTGACTAAAATCAACTAGTTCTGTGAACATCCTGATCACCAGTGTTTTGAACTGTGCATCTGATAGGTTGGCTATCTCTTGGTTGCTTAGAGTTATTGGCTCTGGAGCTATGAGCTGTTTTTCTGCTTGAACCATAATGTTATGGTCAGGTTGTGCCTGTTACATATGAGGGGCAGAGCCTAGGTGTTCACCAGGGCAGGGCCACCCAGGTCACTGGGTTGTGATGCTGTATGTGGGGGCAGAGTCAGAGAGGGAGCAATGGCGCTTGTTCCTCTCTCTCTCTTCAATTTCTGCCCCCTCTGCCACTTTCTACAAGCAAATTGAGCCCTTCTGGTGCTGGTTCCCGGGTATGTGGGCTTGTGTACATTCTAGGACCCTGTGGGTCTCCCCAACAAACTCTCCTGTGAGACTGGGAGCCTCTCCCAGCTCCTCAACCCCTGAACGTTTTTCCAATTGGTGCTTTTAGGCTTTACTTCCCGGTGCTGGTGCCCTGCATTGCACGGTCTGTCTC